CACACACACAGAGAGAGAGAGAGAGAGAGAGAGAGAGAGAGAGAGAAAGAGAGAGAGATCCACCGTCATCTTCCTCCACTTCCCTCTTTTTTCTTCTCTCCACCCGCCCCCACACACACATAAATACTTAGACACAACTGCGTCCTTCTTGACCCCTCACACACCACAATAAACACACCCACATACCCACGCACACTACACACAAAATACCCCCACCCCCCACGCACCAATGCAAACACGCATATACACACACCAAACATACATACACACACACACACACAAACACACACACAAACAAACACACACACACACACGCGCGCGCGCGCGCGCGCGCACAGCGTATAAATTTAAAAAGATCTAAAAAAAATATAATATATCAGCCCAACACGGCTTAAAACTCTCCGTCAGAAGGGTCACAGCGAGGTCGTTAATCTTTGACCACCTTGACCCTGGAAATGTAAAGGTGAATGGGACATCGCCGCCCGCATTACCGTATCGATTTGCAAAGAATGACCACTCTCCTGCCGCTCGCTTCGCACTATTTCCTGTCACAACAACTTTCCTGTCCGTCTGTGTGCGCGCTTAAGGCGGGCTGTAGGAGGGTGCCACTGTTATAGGCCCTTTGACTTTGACTACAGTCGATTATCTGCCAGCACACCTTTCGGTCAGCCGGTTGACGCGCTTAACCCGTTCACTGCTAGGCTAGTTCCACAACCCCACCACAAAGCCCTACACAGCCTCGGGTCAGGCAGCTCATGGGTTAAGGGGGGCTGTTGGAGGGCACTGTTGCTAAATTGGTCGTTTTTTAAGCACAAGGGGCTTATCCCAAAAATGCTGTTTTGAGAAAATCGAAGGTAAAGTTTTTGCCCTTTGTTCAGTTTCTTTAAAATACAAGAAAAGTTTTCTCTATAATCAAACAAATATACACGCTACTGAAACCAAACTTCTCCTTAGGGTAGGGCAATGCCTACTTTTTTTTTTTGTAGGTCAAGATTTCTGGAAACCCCCAAAATCTGGGTAGGCCCGCTTGTCCTTAAAAGCGACCAATTATTATGTCCAACTTGTCAGGTCGATTACAGTAACTGCCACCACATCTTTGCTGTCCCTCAGAGTACAGCGCTTTAGGCGGGTGGTTGGCATGGAGCATGGAGCATGGGGGGGGCATTGTCGGTTTTACGGCACTATGCAACACATAGGTCACATAAAAGCCGAGAATTAGAGGTCTTACCAGAGTAAGATACAAAGAGAAGAAGGGGGAGAGAAGGAGGAGAGATAAGAACCAAATATGTTTAGTAAGAAAGAAGGAGTAACCACACCAGAGCAACCGCCAACTCCTACTTCCGTCTGTTTGTCTCTGTTGGTAACATCAGTGTGTTCGTCTCACTCTTTCCCTGCACTAAATAAATGGTCGTTGTTTTTCTCGATGTGCTTCTCCTTACCAGAGAAGGTTTTTACTCTAACACAACAGCGCTTTAGGTAATCCAGCCTGTGTAATTTGTTTTTTGTTTTTTTACTCCTTTCTGCTTTTATTTATACCTTTAGTTGGGGAATGATAAGACCCTCAAAAACAACATGAAAAGAAGTACAACATAGAAGCGGCGGCCTCTCACCACCAGTATAAAGAGATAATACCAAAACAAAACAAAACATCCACAAGAGAATTGAACTGAACAGCTTACCTTGTGGGGTTGACGTTATTCAGTACTGAATACAAAAGAAGATAAGCAGACAGGTATCCCTTTGTGACGTCACAATCGTCTACCTGCAAAGGAAAACATTTAAAATAGATCATTTGTATTGACAAAACCAAGCTAGAAAAAACAAACTTACGGCGCTGTTCATAAGTTGACGTAAAACAGCAAGTAATAATCTTACTACTAATGGAGCTAAGGTCAAATTTTGCGAACAGTATATTCTCAGAAACTACCGAATGAAAAAATATGAAACTTTGCCAGTACCTATAACTTGGAACGTAGTGTTGCACTATTGTATTTTCATTAAGATCAAATGTGTAAGAAGAAAGCCCATTTTAAGTTAATTTCAGTCCTTTTGTAGCGATCGCTATAATTTGCTTCGACATTGTATCTTCACTGCGGAGTGCCGACTGCGCCGAACGATATTTTGTGTTCAGTTATACATTAGGGGGGA